AAAATAATACAACCATTGTTAATAATTTACTACTTATATATATATATATATATATATAAATAAATCTATTTTGTAAAATATAAAATCAATATTTTTATTTATTTTCTAGAGATAGAAAATATAAAGGAAATAAAATCCGTCATCTATGAATATATTTTTTATTCGCAGAAAAATAAATAAATACAATGTTGTCATATATTACTTACTAAACTTTTCACAGTTTTGCGACCAAAAGAATAATCCATCGCTAATGTTGGTTTTGGTCTTTCATCTTTTTCAAGGAATCGATACACCATTGTTGTCTTACCCTAGAAATACAATTGAAAATGCAAAGTACGTTGTGTTAATTCAATACGCTCCTAATTTCATCACTTACAACTCCCTTACTGCCAAGGATAATAATGGATCGTTCGTGAGTTTCATTTGGATCAGTCCTTCGTCTGTTTTCTTCTTCTATGGCAAGTCGTAATGCAGTTTCTCGCATAGTCTCTCCGCTAGAAAATTAATTCTACGATAGCTAATTTTAGAATATTAAAAGCATATAATATTAAATAAAATACAAATAAATATTAATAGTGAATAAAAAAATGCAAATAATTATAAATTTTCTGAATAGTGTTTTTATTCGAGAATTATGTACAAGTTTCTGTTTAAAATTTCTTCCTAAAATCATTATTACTTTATTATTGCAAAGTTACAATAACAATAAACAATGAAACGTACTTTTATAAAGATTACTCAACCATTAATAATTTAATATTATAATTATTTAACAATTTATTATATAATAATACATGTTTTCTCTGCAAAGCTAGAATAAATTAAATATATATCTAGGAAATTAATTACCTATTTTCTGCAGACATTGTTTTTAATATACTCTAAAGAATGATACTGTGTGTGAAGATAGAGATAGCAGACGTAGTTTTACGTACAATTCCACATTTCTTCAGGTTATGGATATGTTTTTCTTTTCATTACTATGGAAACATGAAAATAAGCGTTCATTTGCATCTTACTCCCATATAACATAAATTTGTAAGCTAATTAAATATATAAATGCGCAATATGCGTCAAAGAGAGAATCTTTTTTTTATATACGTAAGGAACGTAAGGAATTTTATAAATAATTAATATAATGCAAATATACAATATACAGTCTACTTTTGATGTAGTCATTTTGAGACGACAGACGATAAATAATTAACTACTATTAATATCTCGGATTACAAAATTCAGTAGGCATTTTAGGACGTTTGTTTAAATAAATAATATTATACTGTTTTTCAATTGCATGTGTTATTAATTTTTTATGTTAACGTTCAGAATACATTATGCGCAAGAGTACAAGATATAATAATTTACATCTATATTAACCATGTCCATATGCGCCGTGATCTAACGGGAGATCATTCGTCTTAAAAAAGAAATCTGCGAGGATATTTTCTATAATGATGAGCTCTCGACTCTTTTATTTAGCATTCCGACTTCTTCATAGTATAAAAATGTTTTCAGAGTTTATTTTAATACATTTTCGTTGGATCATGACGCATAACGCGCACAATTCAATTTATTTAATTAATTTATTAAATTAAATTATTTTATTTTTGATGTATCTTTCATGAGTACATTATGTACAATTTGGACTAGATAAAATCAGGAATTATTGAATACACCTTATAATCTGCGATAAGGCTCAATATTTTATAAATTATATGTAAATCTATGATTTCTAAATTAGTAGTCAAAAAATTTTGCGCACAAACGCATTGTCTTCCCATATATAATTATTCTATATGTAAACATATTATTAATTAAGCAAGAGTTTTCATAATATTATAAATTATGAAAAACATTACTATCATTATGCATTTTTTCCTACAAAATTTAGAATGATAAGCAGCGCACATATTTTTATTATAATTTCTTTTAGGCGCGGACCATACATTGCTACTTTTAACATTTAAATTGGTTATAATCAATTGATTTACATAAGAAATAATTATTAAAACATTGGCCACTTTTAGTTTAATTTGTACATACAGTGTATGCCATACACCATTTAATTAATCTGGTCATAAAAAGAAATTTTTTAAAGAAACATATAACTCCAAAAATACTGTATGTACGGTAAATACAATATTATACAAAAAACTTACAAGTTATTACGTTTGGTCCTATTACATCATTATATAAACGTCTGTAAAGTATAACGTTGAATTACAAGTAAATAAACAACTTCTCCAATCTTTCTTATGTTGTGTCCATACTTGTTCTAGAAAACAGATTTTCAAAATTCTTATAAATATATCTATAATATATAATAACTATGATATATACATATATATATATATATATATATATATATATATATATTATAT